GAATTCAAGTACGTTAACAACTAGGATACTAAGGTACACATTGCCAGGGAGGTAGGAGAAGGGACAAAACTCGTACTTACCTGTACGCGGTCAAGTTTAAAATCTGTTCTGGAACTGCCAGTGAAGTATTAAATCTAAATATGAGAAATAAGTAAAAGCCGTTACGTATTCTCTCCAAAATTGTTTTTTCTCTATGGTAGGCTTTCTGTAAAGTACGAACTAAAACTGATACAAATCCACATGTGCCTTTATATTGTTGTAAGAAACAACTGAATTCAATTATTTATTTCTCCCAAGTAGAAGTAGAGTTATTGTAATAATCTTAGTTTTAATTAACAAATTTATTTAATACCCTCATTTCTAAGTATTATAGATTTACTTTAACTAACTTCCTTATATCAATTATAAATAACAACACAAAAATAGAGATACATTCTTCCGGTATTTCGAGGTAGAATAATTAAGCATTAAATCCACTATGATAAATATGAATAGTGACATTTAGTGGGATCATTAATGTAAAAGATGCTTTATGTGTAACAAAAGAATTTGAATATGAAATAGATATTTTAGACCTTTGTAAGCTAATGTGTGCTCCAGAAATGAACAGACATTCTCGTATGATGTAAAAATTACATCATCGATAACTCTTCCTCTAGCAACAATTCACGTGAGCTGATAAAAAATGTGTCAAGCATACCAAGCAAGGGTGGAGCTCCTAATCTACTGATCGACCCATATTATCATCACTATATAAGCGCGAATGTTTCAGTAGAAATCACCATCTACAATCCAAACATCTCTGCAGAGAAAGTTTGAAGGAAAGTGGAAATAATTATAACAAAAGAACCAAGATGTTGGGAAAGGTATGCTATTGGATGAAAAGTAATGGGTAACATGGATATTTAATTAAACAATATCGTTAAATTTTAACCTTATGCAATAGCATTAAGTTTGAGAATGTTTTACCCATTGATATAAATAAGAAAAATACCGTAAACACAAGGTTTAATAACAAAAGAAATAGTTCTTTAGCATGCAGAAATAATTTTATCGTTCTGTGTTCACGAATTACTCACATTAAGGCCAAAAATTTACGTTAAAAGTAATGTTTGATAACTTATTAACGCTGTTTTAATATTTTTTTAATTGCTTTTATTTGTTATAAGTTTCCTAAGAAATAAAACTACAAAACATTATTGTAACGTATATTCATAAA